GCTTCATCCATGTGCCTGCAAAGGACATGAACTCATCCTTCTCTATGGCTGCATAGTATTTCATGGTGTATATGTGCCACGTATTCTTTATCCAGTCTATTCTTCATGAGCATTTGGGTTTGTTCCAGATTCCAAGTCTTTGCTTTGTGAACAGTGCCACAATGAGCATACGTATGCCTGTGTCTTTATAATAGAACAGTTTATAATCCTTTTTAATAGAACAGTTTTTATTAATCTTTATAATAGAACAGTTTATAATCCCATTACCCAGTAATGGGATTGCCGTGTCAAATGGTATTTCTATTTCTAGATCCTTGAGGAATCACCACACTGTCTTCCAAAATGGCTGAACTAATTTACGCTCCCACCAAAAGTGTAAAAGTGTTCCTATTTCTCCACACCCTCTTCAGCATCTGTTGTCTCCAGATTTTTTAATGATCGCCATTCTAACTGGCTAGAGATGGTATCTCAATGTGGTTCTGATTTGAATTTCTCTAATGTCCTGTGATGACGAGCATTTTTTTCATATGTTTGTTGGCTGCATAAATGTCTTCTTTTGAGAAGTGTCTGTTGTTATCTTTTGCCTACTTTTTCATGGGGTTGTTTTTTTCTTGTAAATTTAAGTTCTTCGTAGGTTCTGGATATTAGCCCTTTGTCAGATGGGTAGATTGCAAATTTTTTTTCCCATTCTGTTCATTGCTGGTTCACTAATTTTTGATACTTTCTTTTACTATGCAGGAGCTGTTAACTTTAATTAGATCCCATTTGTCTATTTTGGCTTTTGTTGCCATTGCTTTTGGTGTTTTAGTCATGAAGTCCTTGCCTATGCCTGTGTTCTGAATGGTATTGGCTACGTTTTCTTCTAGAGTTTTCATGGGGTTAGGTCTTACTTTTAAGTATTTAATCCATCTGGAGTTAATTTTTGTGTAAGGTGTAAGGAAGTGGTCCAGTTTCAGCTTCTGCATATGGCTAGCCAGTTTTCCCAACACCATTTATTAAGCGGGGAATCCTTTTCCTATTGCTTTTGTCAGGTTTGTCAAAGATCAGATGGTTGTACATGTGTGGCATTAGTTCTGAGGCCTCTGTTCTGTTCCATTGGTTTACATCTCTGTTTTGGTACCATTACCGTGGTGTTTTGATTACTGTAGCCTTGTAGTATAGTTTGAAGTCAGGTAGTGTGATACCTCCAGCTTTGTTCTTTTTGCTTATGATTGTCTTGGCTATGCAGACTCTTTTTTTGGTTCCATGTGAAGTTTAAGGTGTTTTTTACCCAATTCTGTGAAGGTCAATAGCAGCTTGATGGGAATAGCATTGAATCTACAAATTACTTTGGGCAGTGTGGCCATTTTCACAATGTTGATTCTTCCTAACCATGAGCGTAGAATGTTTCTCTATCTGTTTGTGTCCTCTCTCATTTCCTTGAGCAGTGGTTTTAATTGTCCTTGAAGAGGTCCTTCACATCCTTTGTAAGTTGTATTCTTATTTTATTCTCTCTGTAGCAAATGTGAATGGGAGTTTGCTCATGATTTGGGTGTTTGTCTGTTACAGATGTGGAGGAATGCCTGTGATTTTCGCATTGATTTTGTATTATGAGACTTTGCTGAAGTTGCTTATCAACTTCCGAAGATTTTGGGCTGAGACAATGGGGTCTTCTAAATAGACAATCATGTCGTCTGCCAATAGAGACAATTTGACTTCCCCTTTTCCTAAATGAAGCCCCTTTATTTCTTTTTCTTGCCCAATTGATGTGGCCAGAAATTCCAATACTATGTTGAATAGGAGTGGTGAGAGAGGGCACCCTTGTCTTGTGCCAGATTTCAAAGGGAATGCTTCCAGTTTTTGCCCAATCAGTATGATATTGGCTGTGGGTTTGTCATAAATAGCTTTTATTATTTTGAGATAAGTTCTATCAATACATAGTTTATTGAGAGTTTTTAGCATAGAGGGCTGTTGAATTTGTCAAAGGCCTTCTCTGCACCTATTGCGATAATTATGTGGTTTTTGTCTTTGGTTCTGTTTATGTGATGGATTATATTAATAGATTTGCATGTGTTGAACCAGACTTGCATCCCAGGGATGAAGCCGACTTGATCGTGATAGATAAGCTTTTGATGTGCTGTTGGATTCAGTTTGCCAGTATGTTAGTGAAGATTTTAGCATCAATATTCATCATGGATATTGGCCTGAAGTTTTTTTTAGCTGTGTCTCTTCCAGGTTTGGTATCAGGATGATGTTGGTCTCATAAAATGAGTTAGGGAGGATTCCCTCTTTTTCTATTATTTGGAATAGTTTTGGAAGGAATGATACCAGCTCCTTTTTGTATGTCTGGTAGAATTCAGTTATGAACCCATCTGGACCTGGACTTTTTTTGGTTGGTAGGCTATTAAGTGCTGCCTCAACTTCAGACCTTATTGGTCTATTCAGGGATTTAACTTCTTCCTGGTTTAGTCTTGGTAGGATGTAAGTGTCCAGGAATTTATCCATTTCTTCCAGGTTTACTTGTTTATGTGCATAAATGTGTTTGCAGTAATCTCTAATGGTAGTTTGTATTCAAAAGCTACCAGAATACAAGAAATAACTAAGATCACGCTGGGCATGGTGGCCCACACCTGTAATCCCAGCACTTTGGGAGGCCAAGGCAGGTAGATCACAAGGTCAGGAGATGGAGACCATCCTGGCCAACATGGTGAAACCCCATCTCTAAAAATAAAAAAAAGAAAGAAAAGAAATAACTAAGATCAAAGTAGAATTGAAGGAGATAGAGACACCAAAAATCCTTCAGAAAAATCAATGAAACCAGGAGCTGGTTTTTTTGAAAAGATCAACAAAATAGATAGACCACTAGCCAGACCAATAAAAAGGAAAAGAGAGAAGAATTGAATACATGCAATAAAAAATGATAAAGGGGATATCACCAATTCCACAGAAATACAAACTACCATCAGAGATTACTACAAACACCTCTATGCACATAAGCCAGTAAATCTAGAAGTGATCTTTTATAAAGCCTACATCAGATCATGTCTCTCCTCTGCTTAAATTCCTCTAGTGACTCTCCACCTCACTCAGAAGTGGAAGCCAGTGAACTTTCCCTCTCTGATGCCATCACCTCTCCTGCAGGTCTCTGCAGTCCACTGTGTTGTTCTTACTCTGTGTCACGTGCTCTCTGGCCTCAGGGCCTCTTCACTAACTGCTCCTTTTCCCTCAGATATCCCATGGTTAAATCCTTCATTCTCTGCTCAAGAGTTACCTTCTTCGTTTAGTTGATGCTGAGAGTCTTTTTAAATACAGTACAATTCCTAACCCTCATGCTTGGTTTCCCTTTCAGTGCTCTCCTTTTAAAATCTTTTTGTCTTTTCAAGTACTTATCAGCTTGGAACATACTTCTTTGCTCATTGTATTTACTGATCATTATCTTTTTCTTCTCTCTGGAAGGTAAGCCTTCTGAAGGCACAGATTTTCTTTTTTAAATTTATTTTATTGCATTTTAGGTTTTGGGGTACATGTGAAGAACATGCAAGATTGTTGCATAGGTCCACACGTGGCAGTGTGATTTGCTGCCTTCCTCCCCATCACCTACATCTGGCATCTCTCCCCTTGCTATCTCTCCCCAACTCCCCACCGCCCACCTTCCCTTTTAATTTAACTTATCTAAGTGTTTAAAACTGTACCATATACATAGTAAGTATTCAATAAATTTTTAAATGATGAATGAGAAAGTATATAAATCTTACAACAGTGCTCAGAAAGCAATTGATGTTTTTTAAAATTATCTTACTGTAACCTGGCTGAGAACAAAGAAATATCATATAGTTAGGATTAGAAACTTGGATTTTTGAAGATGTTTTCCAATACAGTTTCTCAGTAGAGTGCATAAAAATATGAAGATGGCCAGGCGTGGTGGCTCACGCCTATAATCTCAGTGCTTTGGGATGCCAAGGCAGACAGATCACAAGGTCAGGGGTTTGAGACAAGCCTGGCCAATATGATGAACCCCATCTCTACTCAAAATACCAAAATTAGCCAGGCGTGGTGGTGAGCACCTGTAATCCCAGCTACTCAGAAGGCTGAGGCAGGAGAATCACTTGAACCCGGGAGGCAGAAGTTGCAGTGAGCTGAGATTGTGCCACTGCACTCCAGCCTGGGTGACAGAGTGGGACTCCACCTCAAAAAAAAAAAAAAAAAAAGACAAAACATTGATTTGGTCTGATAAAACAATGAGACCAATAAGGTTAACAAGGTGTACACAGGTCACTGGAGCTGTAGCAGTGCAACCGGAAGAGACTCCAGATCTCCTGACTGACTCCCAGTTGTTTATGTTTCTACTGGAGAGATAGTAACCAAAAGATGGTTGTTTTCATCTTTACTTCTGCCTTTTTTTTTTTTTTTTTGGCACAGGTCTGATCTTGAGGTTGTTTTCCAATGAACACATTCTTCTATGATCATCTTTCTATGACAGATGCCAGGCGAGGTGTCAGAGCCCCAGCATTGAGAAGTGGTCAACTTAAAGGTTGGTAAGAAGAATTTATTGACAACAATATAGGTTTGAAAACAATAGCAATAGTTTATTAAAAAGGAGTGCTGTCAAAGTGCAGCAGGGAGCCTCAATGAGAGAGGACTGAGCTCGTGGAGGTGGGTTTTTTCTTAGTGGTATTTATGGACCTTAAAAATGGGGGCTGAGGGGTAATTTGCATATTTAATTATTACATTTGTAGACATATCAGCAAGTATTGCAAAATGAGTTTTGGCAAGGCATTCAAAAGATGTATACAAATTCTAGTAACTTATAAAAGTTGAAAGAGGCCAGGAACCAGATGCTGACTTTAGATACGAGGAAAGTTTAATTACTTCCCTCTGAGATGGAGTGCAATGGCTCAATCTTGGCCTACCACAATCTCCGCCTCCTGGGTTCAATCAAGTCTCCTGTCTCAGCCTCCTGAGAAGGTGGGATTACAGGCATGAGCTGCCACTATACCCAGCTAACTTTTTGTCTTTTTAATAGAGATGGGGTTTCACCATGTTGGTCAGGGTGGTCTTGAACTCCTGACCTCAGAGTGTAACCGGATTAGCTGCAACCAGATTTTCTGGAAGTCAGGTTCTTGGCCTCTCCAACCCCAATGAATGGGGAAGGGGGCCATGGTGAGTGTCATAGCTTAAGCAGAACCCATGGACCCAATGAGTGTGTGGTACTGTGATTAGGCAGAGTGAAAGGACAGCTTCCATGCTGTGGGAGGGGACCTGAAGTGGGTGCCCCTGCAGGCTTGGGCAGCTGGAGCTTATGCCCCTGAGTTATTCCCTCCCTGTTCTTGTTGTCATCCAATGAGAGGAGTTTTTTTCAAACTTTATCTGGACCGCATTTTAAAACCCTCAGTCACTGAGCCTCTACCTCCAGGGGCCGGAGGCAGGAAAACTGGAAACAAAGCCCTAGCCCACCAGAGGCGGAAAAAGTTCCTGTGCTTGGAAAAAAGCCCCTGGCCTGCCAGAGGCAGGACACGTTCCTGCACTGAAAAAAAGAAGAGGCCCTACCCAGCCCTGGAAGTTCCTCTATACAGTTCCTCAGTCCCCACTCTCAACGGGAAGGTCCAACTGCTGTTGGACGACGATTGCTCTACCTACCTCCTGCTGAACTGGGGCACAGAAGGGGGCCCTGCAGTTGAGGTTTCCTCCAGAGGGGAGTCTTCTGGGGTTGCAGGTTGATCCAGTGGTCCGTGATAGAAATTATGAGCCACGGACATTTGGGGTTCCATTTAGGACCATTTGTATCATCATGGCCTCAATTCTGGAAGAAACAAATTTGGCCAGAAAGTGAAAGATGAGAGGCCCAAAGGCAAGCAATGATAGGATGGTTACTAAGGGGCCTGGAAGAGGGGAGAGTCAGGGTAGCTGTTTGTTAAGCTTCATGATCCTCTTTCTTGGAGGTTCTTTACCCTGTGTTCTATTCGGTCCCTTAGTTCTTTAAGATGATATCTGATTGGTTTACAAACTAACAGCATTCTTCTCTCTTAAAAAGAGACAAGTTCCTCCTCTCTCTGCCGTTAACAGATCCAGGGCGCTTCGAGTTTGAAGAGTCATGGCAACTAAATTGCTTTTGCAGAGTTACGAGAGAATCGGCAACCTTTTCCATGTGATTAATTCCTGGGACAGCTTAGAGTAAAAGTGAGTAGAGGCAGTAATTCCTCCAATACCAGTATTAAGCCTGCCTATTATTCCTGCTACCATGCTGAATGGAAGAACTGGGATTCTAGTATGCCTTGGCCTGAACAAGAGAAGACTCTGCAACTGAGAATCAGTGTAAATGGTCATGGGGGGCAACAGGAAGGAGAGGAGGCATATTTCCTCCATGTATTGTTTAGACAGCAGTAGGCTGAGGAGCCAGAAACACAGAGTAAGCCTGGTGCGAGGCAGTCGAGGCCTGGGGGTAAGGTAGCCGTAGAGAAGCATTGGAGTTGTTAGTAAGTTTGAGGTAGATGGAATTTGTAGATTGGTGACCAAGGGACTTACAAGCCCTGTATGATTGAAGGGTGGGTTAGTTATGTTCTATAAGTATGGAACTGGAACCAGGATATTTGGTTTGAAGCATAGTGGAAGGCACATTCAACAGTCGGTTGGGTTGTCGGAGGCCTCACCCGTTTCTGCGAGAGTGGTGTTGAGTAGGTTGAGCATACAAGAGTGTGTGCACAGGATCTTGTGTAGCTTAGAAAGGTCCAGGCCTTTGTAGGTACTGGGGGTACTTTGTGGTTTGCCTAGCTACAGATTACTGCCTTGAGACACCCTTCCTGTGCCTGATCTTGAACTTTGCCCTCATCTGAAGTCCTGACATGGGTAAAATACGTCCAGCAGGTGGTGGTGCCCTTACCAGCTGGACAGTTAGGCCCAGTTATTGTTCCCGTTCAATATATGCACAGGGAAGCAGTGCTACAGCAGTTCTTGTGCATGTAAGTATAGGGTATAAAGAAGGCCACTGGACCTAATCCCCAAGACCAGAGTGAACTTGTTTCCTGTGCAATATTGTTCCAGTTTTAACCCCTTTGGGGGCATTTTCAGTTGGGATGGGTGTGAAGTAGGGGGCAGGCAGCAACGACGATAAGGGGGACCACAAGAGAGGTCATAATAAGAGAGTGGTACTATCAGAGGGAGAAGAGGAAAGCTGTTAGACACTTAATTGGGCAGCAAGCCACGGATATTGAGTCTACGGAATGTGGGCGAAGCCTCAAGGTGACCACACAGAGTCCAGTTGCAAATAGTAAAGGTAACAGTGATATTCCAGTCAATGCCAGAATGTAAGGTAGACTCATGAGTAGTTCATTTCCTGAGGGTCTTGTCCGAAGAGCAACTGCAGATCCTTTAACGGCTCACAGGTATATGAAGGGCAGCCTCCTGGATCCTCAGGCGGTGGAGCGCAGGTCCTATGATCTTCTCCAGGAGGCATCAAGGTTTCAGCCGAGTGTGATGGATCAATGAGTCACTTCCCACCACCTTAAGTGCTGTAGAGGTGAGAGAATGACCAAAACTGGCACTTTCCAAGACGGACCTAGAGAGAGAGAGAGAGAGTCAGAGGGGAGACTTGACATGTACTAAATCTCCAGGACAAAATAACAATTTCCCATTTTCCCTAGGGTATCCTTCAGGTAAGGTCTTAAATGCCTGTTCATGCTTAGCCAAGGAGGCTATACCTTTTATTAAATCTGTTGTTTCTCTGTCTAATACAAGATTGTTGGTAAGAAAGGGTCGTCCATAAAGCATTTTATAGGGACTGCGTCCTAGTTTCTGAGGAAAGTTTTGAGCCCTTAAGAGTGCTGTCAGTAGCGGAGTGCATCATGGGAGGTGAAGTGTCTTTTTTAATTATTGCATTTTAGGGTTGGAGATACATGTGAAGAACATGTAAGATACATAGGTACATACATGGCAGTGTGGTCTGCTGCCTCTTTCCCCTATTCCCCCCCCACAGACCCCAGTGTGTGATGCTCCCTCCCTGTGTCCATGTGTTCTCATTGTTCAACACCCGCCTATCAGTGAGAACATGCAGTGTTTGATTTTCTATTCTTGTGTCAGTTTGCTGAGAATGATGGTTTCCAGGTTCATCTGTGTCCCTACAAAGGACACGAACTCATAGTTTCTTATGGATGCATGATATTGCATGGTGTATATGTGCCACATTTATCATTGTCCAGTCTATAATCAATGGGCATTTGGGTTGGTTCCAAGTGTTTGCTATTGTAAACAGTGCCACAATGAACATTTGTGTGCATGTGTCCTTATAATAGAACAATTTATAGTCCTTTGGATATATACCCAATAATGAGATTGCTGGGTCAAATGGAATTTCTATTTCTAGGTCCTCGAGGAATTGCCACACCGTCTTCCACAATGGTTGAACTAATTTACGCTCCCATCAACAGTGTAAAAGTGTTCTTATTTCTCCACATCCTCTCCAGCATCTGGTGTCTCCAGATTTTTTAATGATCGCCATTCTAACTGGTGAGAGATGGTATCTTAATGTAGTTTCGATTTACATTTCTCTAATAACCGGTGATGATGAGCACTTTTTCATATGTTTGTTGGCTTCATGTATGTCTTCTTTTGTAAAGTGTCTGTTAATTTCCTCCCACTTTTGAATGGGCTTGTTTTTCAGTTCTTTGTAGATTCTGGGTATTTCTCAGATGGGTAGATTGCAAAAATTTTTCCCCATTCTATTAGTTGCCAATTCACTCCAAGGACTTTTTCTTTTGCTGTGCAGAAGCTGTGGAGTTTGATTAGGTCCTATTTGTCTATTTTGGCTTTTGTTGCCAATGCTTTGGTGTTTTAGTCATGAAGTCCTTGCCTATGCCTATATCCTGAATGGTTTTGCCTAGGTTTTCTTCTAGAGTTTTTATGGTGTTAGGTCTTTTGTTTAGGTCTTTAATCCATCTGGAGTTAATTTTAGTGGAAGGTGTCAGGAAGGGGTCCAGTTTCTGCTTTCTGCACATGGCTAGCCAGTTTTCCCAACACTATTTATTAAACAGGGACTTCATTGCCCATTGCTTGTTTTTGTCAGGTTTCTCAAAGATCAGATAGTTGTAGATGTGTGGTATTGCTCCGAGGCCTCTGTTCTGTTTCATTGGTCTATATCTCTGTTTTGGTACCAGTACCATGCTGTTTCAATTATTGTAGCCTTGTAGTAAAAGTTTGAAGTCAGATAGTGTGATGCCTCCAGCTTTGTTCTTTTTGCTTAGAATTGACTTGGCTATGCGGGCTCTCTTTTGGTTCCATATGAAGTTTAAGGTGTTTTTTTCCAGTTCTGCGAAGAAGAAGGTCATTGGTAGCTTGATGGGGATAGCATTGAATCTGTAAATTACTTTGGGCAGTATGGCCATTTTCACAATATTGATTCTTTCTAACCATGAACATGGAATGTTTGTCGATCTGTTTGTGTCCTCTCTTAATTCCTTGACCAGTGGTTGGTAGTTCTCCTTGAAGAGGTCCTTTACATGCTTTGTTTGTTGTATTCCTAGGTATTTTATTCTCTTTGTGGCAATTGCGAATGGCAGTTTGTTCTTCATTTGTCTCTCTGTTAGTCTGTTATTGGTGTATAGGAATGCTTGTGATTTCTGCACAGTGATTTTGTATCCTGAGACTTTGCTGAAGTTGCTTATGAGTTTAAGGAGATTTTGGGCTGAGACGATGGGCTCTTCTAAATATATAATCATGTCATCTGCAAATGGAGACAGTTTGACTTCCTCCTTTCCTATTTGAATACCCTTTATTTCTTTTTCTTGCCTGATTGCTCTGCCTAGAACTTCCAATACTATATTGAATAGGAGTGGTGAGAGAGGGCATCTTTGTCTGGTGCCACATTTCAAAGGGAATGCTTCCAGTTTTTGCCCATTCAGTATGATATTGGCTGTGGGTTTGTCGTAAAAAGCTTTAATTATTTTGAGATACGTTCCATCAATACCTAGTTTATTGAGGGTTTTTAGCATAAAGGGCTGTTGAATTTTGTCAAAGGCCTTCTCTGCATCTATTGAGATAATCATGTGGTTTTTGTCTTCGGTTCTGTTTATGTGGTGGATTACGTTTATAGAGTTGCGTATGTTGAACCAGCCTGGCATCCCCAGGATGAAGCCTACTTGATTGTGATGGATAAGCTTTTTAATGTACTGTTGCAGTTGGTTTGTCAGTATTTTATTGAAGATTTTTGCATGTATGTTCACCGTGGATATTGGCCTGAAGTTTTCTTTTCTTGTTGAGTCTCTGCCGGGTTTTAGTGTCAGGATGATGCTGGTCTCATAAAATGATTTGGGAAAGATTCTCTCTTTTTGTATTGTTTGGAATAGCTTCAGACGGAATGGTACCAGCTCCTCTTTGTATGTCTGGTAGAATTCGGCTGTGAACCCATCTGGACCTGGACTTTTTTTTGGTTGGTAGGCTCTTAATTGCTGCTTGAACTTCAGACCTTGTTGTGGGTCTTTTCAGGGTTTCTACTTCTTCCTGGCTTAGGCTTGGGAGGATGCAAGTGTCCAGGAATTTATCCATTTCTTCCAGGTTTACTAGTTTATGTGCATAGAGTTGTTTGTAATAATCTCTGATGATGGTTTGAATTTCTGTGGAATCTGTGGTGATATCCCCTTTATCGTTTTTTATTGCATCTGTTTCATTATTCTCTGTTTTCTTTTTTATTAATCTGGCTAGAGGTTTATTTTGTTGATCATTTCGAAAACTCAGCTCCTGGATTTATTGATTTTTTGAAGGGTTTGTGTGTCTATCTCCTTCAGTTTTGCTCTGATCTTAGTTATTTCTTGTCTTCTGCTAGGTTTTGAGTTTTTTTGATCTTGCTCCTCTAGCTCTTTCAATTTTGATGATAGGGTGTCGATTTTGGGTCTTTCCTTGCTTCTCATGTGGGCATTTATTGCTACCTATTTTCCTCTAGACATTGCTTTAAAGGTGTCCCAGAGATTCTGGTATGTTGTGTCTTCGTTCTCATTGGTTTAGAAGAACATCTTTATTTCTGCCTTCATTTGGTTGCTTATGCAGTCAACATTCAAGAGCCAGTTGTTCAGTTTCCATGAAGTTGTGCCATTCTGACTTAGTTTCTCAATTCTGATTTCTAACTTGATTGCACTGTGGTCAGAGAGACCGTTATGATTTCTGTTCTTCTGCATTCACTGAGGAGTGATTTGCTTCCAATTATGTGGTCAATTTTAGAGTAGGTGTGATGTGGTGCTGAGCAGAATGTATATTCTGTGGATTTGAGATGGAGAGTTCTGTAAATGTCTATTAGGTTTGCTTAGTCCAGGTCTGAGTTCAGGTCCTGGATATCCTTGTTAATTTTCTGTCTCGTTGATCTGTCTAATATTGACAGTGGGGTGTTAAAGTCTCCCACTATTATTTTGTGGGATTCCAAGTCTCTTTGTAAGTAAATCATTAAGAACTTGCTTTATGTATCTGGGTGCTCCTGTATTGGGTGAGTGTATATTTGGGATTGTCAGTTTTTCTTGTTGCATTGATCCTTTTACCATTATGTAATACCCTTCTTTGTCTCTTTTGATCTTTGTTGGTTTACAGTCCGTTTTATCAGAAACTAGGATTGCAACTCCTGCTTTTGTTTTTTTTTTTTTCCCCTCTCCATTTTTTTGTTGGTTCATCTTCCTCCATCCCTTTATTTTGAGCCTTTGTGTATCCTTGCATGTGAGATGGGTTTCCTGGATACAGCACACTGATGGGTTTTGGGTTTTTATCCAATTTGCCAGTCTGTGTCTTTTGATTGGGGCATTTACCCCATTTACATTTAAAGTTAATATTTTTATGTGTGAATTTGATCCTGCCATTTTGATGTTAGCTGGCTGTTTTGCCCGTTAGTTGATGCAGTTTCTTCATTGTGTTGATGCTCTTTACCATTTGGTATGATTTTGGAGTGGCTGGTACTGGTGGTTCCTTTCTGTGTTTAGTGCCTCTTTCAGGACTTCTTGTAAAGCAGGCCTGGTGGTGCTGAAATCTTTGAGTACTTGCTTGTTCGCAAAGGATTTTATTTTTCCTTATGAAGCTTAGTTTGGCTGGATATGAAATTCTGGGTTAAAAGTTCTTTTCTTTAAGGATGTTGAATATTGGCCCCCACTTTCTTCTGGTTTGTAGGGTTTCTGCCAAGAGATCCACTTTGAGTCTGATGGGCTTCCCTTTGTGAGTAACCCGACCTTTCTCTCTGGCTGCCCTTAGCATTTTCTCCTTCATTTCAACCCTGGCAAATCTGACGATTATGTGCCTTGAGATTGCTCTTCGTGAGGAATATCTTTGTGGTGTTCTCTGTATTTCCTAGACTTGAATGTTGGCCTGCCTTGCTAGGTTGGGGAAGTTTTCCTGGATAATATCCTGAAAAGTATTTTCCAGCTTGGATTCATTCTCTTCATCACATTCAGGTACACCTTTCAGATGTAGATTAGGTCTTTTCACATAGTCCCATATTTCTTGGAGACTTTGTTCATTCCTTTTTACCCTTTTTTCTCTAATCATGCCTTCTTGTTTTATTTCATTGAGTTGATCTTTGACCTTTGATATGCTTTCTTCTGCTTGATCAATTCGGCTGTTGAAACTTGTGTATGCTTCGCCAAGTTCTCATGTTGTGTTTTTCAGCTCCATCAATTCATTTATATTCCTCTCTAAGCTGTTTATTCTCATCAGCATTTCGTCGAACCTTTTTGTCAAGGTTCTTAGTTTCTCTGCATTAGGTTAGAGCATGTTCTTTTAGCTTAGAGAAGTTTCTGATTACCCACCTTCTGAAGCCTGTTTCTGTCAATTTATCAGAAGGTGCGTAATCAGAAACTTCTCTGAGGTAAAAGAACATGTTCTAACCCAATGCAGAGAAACTAAGAACCTTGAAAAAAGGTTCAATGAAATCCTAACAAAAATAAACAGCTTAGAGAGGAATATATATGACTTGATGGAGCTAAAAAACAACACAAGAACTTCGCCAAGTTTCCATAGCTGAATTGACCAAGCAGAAGAAAGGATATCAGTGATTGAAGATCAACTCAATGAAATAAAATGAGAAGGCAAAGAGTGAAAAGAAATGAACAAAGTCTCCAAGCAATATGGCATTATGTAAAAAGACCTAATCTATGTTTGATAGGTGTACCTGAATGTGACGGAGAGAATGCATCCAAGCTGGAAAACACTCTTCAGGGTATTATCCAGGAGAACTTTCCCAACCTAGCAAGGCAAGCCAACATTCAAGTCCAGGAAATACAGAGAGCACCACAAAGATATTCCTCAAGAAGAGCAACCCCAAGGCACATAATCGTCAGATTCACCAGGGTTGAAATGAAGGAGAAAATACTAAGGGCAGCCAGAGAGAAAGGTCGGGTTACCCACAAAGGGAAGCCCATCAGACTTCCCTTTGTGAGTTCCCATCAGACTCACAGTGGATCTCTCGGCAGAAACCCTACAAGCCAGAAGAGAGTGGGGGCCAATATTCAACATCCTTAAAGAAAAGAACTTACAGCCTAGAATTTCATATCCAGCCAAACTAAGCTTCACAAACCAAGGGGAAAGAAAATCCTTTACAAACAAGCAATTGCTGAAAGATTTTGTCACCACCAGGCCTACCTTACAAGAGCTCCTGAAAGAAGCACTAAACATAGAAAGGAACAGTAGCAGTCTCTCCAAAAATGTACCAAATGGTAAAGAGAATCAACACAATGAAGAAACTGCATCAACAAACGAGCTAAACAAGCAGCTAGCATCAAAATGGTAGGATCAGATTCACACATAACAATATTAACCTTAAATGTAAATGGGCTAAATGCCCCAATCAAAAGACCCAGACTGGCAAATTGGATACAAAGTCAAAACCCATCTCATGTGCAAGGACACACACAGACTCAAAATAAAGCGATGGAGGAAGACTTACCAAGCAAACGGACAGCAAAAAAAGCAAGAGTGGCAATCCTAGTCTCTGATAAAATAGACTGTAAACCAACAAAGATCAAAAGAGACAAGGAAGGGCGTTACATAATGCTAAAAGGATCAATGCAACAAGAAGAGCTAATGATCTTAAATAATATATATACACCCAATACAGGAGCACCTAGATACATAAAGCAAGTCCTTAGTGACCTACAAAGAGACTTAGAATCCCACAAATTAATAGTGGGAGACTTCGTCACTCCACTGTCAATCATAGACAGAATAACGAGACAAAAAATTAACAAGGATATCCAGGACCTGAACTCAGATCTGTACCAAGCAAACTTAATAGACATTTACAGAACTCTCTATCCCAAATCCACAGACTATGCATTCTTCTCAACATCCCAGAACACCTACTCTAAAATTGACCACATAATTGGAAGTAAATCACTCCTCAGCAAATGCAAAAGAATGGAAATCACAACAAACAGTCTCTCAGACCACAGTGCAATCAAATTAGAACTCAGATTCAGAAACTAACTCAGAACTGCACAACTGCATGGAAACTGAACAACTTGCTCTTGAATGTTGACTGGATAAACAATGAAATGAAGGCGGAAATAAAGCTGTTCTGTGAAACCAACGAGAACAAAGACATAACATACCAGAATCTCTGGGACACATTTAAAGCAGCGTCTATAGGAAAAATTACAGCAATAAATGCCCACATGAGAAGCAAGCAAAGATCTAAAACCTACACTCTATCATCAAAATTGAAAGGCCTAAAGGAGCGAGAACAAAAAAACTCAAAACCTAGCAGAAGACAAGAAATAACTAAGAGCAGAGGAGAACTGAAGGAGATACATAAAAAACCCTTCAAAAATTTAATAAATCTAGAAGCTGGTTTTTTGAAAAGATCAACAAAATAGATCACTAGCCAGATTAAAAGAAGAATCAAATAGATGCAATAAAAAATAAAGGGGATATCACCACCGATTTCACAGAAATACAAAGTACAATCAGATATTACTACAAACAACTCTATGCACATAAACCAGTAAAAAAATGGATAAATTCCTGGACACTTACACCCTCTGAAGCGTAAACCAAGAAGTTGAAACCGAATAGACCAATAAAAAGGGCTGAAGTTGAGGTAGCAATTAATAGCCTACCAACCAAAAACAGCCCAGGTCCAGAGGGGTTCACAGCTGAATTCTACCAGACATACAAGAGAAGCAGGTACCACTCCTTTGGAAACTATTCCAAATAATCCACAAAGAGGGAATCCTTCCCAAATCATTTTATGAGGTCAACATCATACTGATACCAAAACCAGCAGAGACTGGAAAAAAAAAAAGAAAACCTCAGGCCAGTATCCATGATGAACACAGATGCAAAAATCTTCAATAAAATACTGGCAAACCGATTGCAACAGCACATCAAAAAGCTTATTGACCATGATCAAGTAGGATTCATCCCAGGGATGCAAGGCTGGTTCAGCATACGCAAGTCTATAAATGTAATCCACCAGATAAACAGAACCAAAGACAGAAACCACATGATTATCTCAGTAGATGCAGAGAAAGCCTTCAAAAAAATTCAACAGCCCTCTATGCTAAAAACTCTCCATAAAATAGGTATTGATGGAACTTATCTCAAAATAATAAAAGCTATTTATGACAAACCCACAGCCAGTATCATACTGAATAGGCAAAAACTGGAAGCATTACCCTTTGAAATCTGGCACTAGACAAGGATGCCCTCTCTCCCCACTCCTATTCAACATAGTATTGGAAGCTCTAGTCAGAGCTATCAGGCAAGAAAAAGAAATAAAGGGTATTCAAATAGGAAAGGAGGAAGTCAAATTGTCTCTATTTGAATACAACATGATTGTATATTTCAAAGACCCCATCCTCCCAGCCCAGAATCTCCTGAAACTCATAAGCAACTTCAGCAAAGTCTCAGGATACAAAATCACTGTGCAGAAATCACAAGCATTCCTACACACCAATAACAGACTAACAGAGAGCCAAATCAAGAGTGAACTGCCATTCACAATTGCTACAAAGAGAATAAAATACCTAGGAATAGAACCAACAAGGGACATGAAGGACCTCTTTAAGGAGGACTACAAACCATTGGTCAAGGAAGTAAGTGGGGACACAAACAGATGGAAAAACATTCGATGCTCATGGTTAGGAAGAATCAATATTGTTAAAATGGCATACTGCCTAAAGTAATTTATAGATTCAACACTATCCCCATCAAGCTACCAACGACCCTCTTCACAGAACTGGAAAAAACCACCTTAAACTTCACATGGAACCAAAAGAGAGCCTGCATAGCCAAGACAATCTTAAGCAAAAAGAACAAAGCTGGAGGCATTACACTACCTGACTTCAAACTATACTACAAGGCTACAGTAATCAAAACAGAATGGTACTGGTACCAAAACATAGACCAGTGTAACAGAAAGAAAAGAGGCCTTGGAGACCACGCCACACATCTACAGCCATCTGATCTTTGACAAACCTCACAAAAACAAGCAATGGGGAAAGGATTCCTTGTTTAATAAATGGTGTTGGGAAAACTGGCTAGCCAAGTGCAGAAAGCGGAAACTGGACCCCTTCTTGATACCTTACAATAAAATTAACTCCAGATAGATTAAAGACTTAAACATAAGACTTAACACTGTAGAAACCCTAGAAGAACACCTAGGTACCATTCAGGACATAGGCATAGGCAAGGACTTCATGACTAAAACACCAAAGCATTGGCAACAAAAGCGAAAATAGACAAATGGGATTTAATTAAACTTAAGAGCTTCTGTACAACATACAACACTATCATCAGAGTGAACTGGCAATCAACAGAATGGGAAAAGCTTTTTGCAATCTACCCATCTGATAAAGGGCTAATATCCGGCATCTACAAATAACTTAAATTTACAAGACAAAAACAACCCCATCAAAAAGTAGGCTAAGGATATGAATGGACACTTCTCAAAATAAGACATTTATGCAGCCAACAAACCTATTTAAAAAAGCTCATCATCACTCGTCATTAGAGAAATCCAAATGAAAACCACATTGAGGTAGCATCTCTCGCCAGTTAGAATGACAATCATTAGAAAATCTGGAGACAACAGATACTGGAGAGGGTGTGGAGAAATACGAACGCTTTTACACTGTTGGTGAGAGTGTAAATTAGTTCAACCATTGTGGAAGACAGTGTGGTGATTCCTCAAGGATCTAGAACTAGAAATACCATTTGACACAGCAATCCCATTACTGGGTATATACCCAAAGGATTATAAGTCATTCTGTTATAAAAACACATGCAAACACATGTTTATTGCAACACTGTTCACAATAGCAAAGACTTAGAACCAACCCAAATGCCCATCAGTGATTGACTGGATAAAGAAAATGTGGCACATACACATTACGTAATATTATGCAGCCATAAAAAAGTATTGATTCATGTTTTTTGCAGGGACATGGATGGAGCTGGAAACCATCATTCTCAGCAACTGATGCAAGAACAGAAAACCAAACACCGCATCTTCTCACTCATAAGTGGGTACTGAACATTGAGAACACATGGAGGAAACATCACACGCTGGGACCTGTTGGGGGGTGGGGGTCTAGGAAAGAGATAGCAGGGGGTGGGGGCATTGGGGAAGGAAAGCATTAGGAGAAATACCTAAGGTAGATGATGATGGTGGGATGGATGCAAGAAACCACCATAGCACGTGTGTATCTATGTAACAAACTTGCCCCTTCTGCACATGTATCTCAGAACTTAGAGTATAAATTAAAGTCATATTAAGATATATTAAAAACATAAATGTTAGGGAAATAAATTACATTTAAGAGTGAAGAAGTTTGTTGAATAGTTTTGTTCTTCTGAAAGGGAAATACAAATTAAAACCCAAATTCAATGCCACTTTATACCTATTGAATTGGTAAAAATTAAAAAGTTTAACAATACAAAGTGCTGGAGACATGTACATTCACAAGATCTTTTGAACTTCCGGGTGGCAGTCTAATGATTTGTATGTACTTTGGAAAGCAATTCACATTGTCTTTTACATTTCGTGATTTATGTAATCTATAATCAATTATACTCTTAGGCTTAAATAGAAGAGAAAATCTTGCATATTTATAGTAGGAGATATTAATAACATTTCTCTACTAGTACTGCTCAAAATACAAAGAAATGCCAAATGTTCATCAAAAATATAAAGGAATTGACTAAAATATATTTAAACAATGTGGTATTTTGTTCCAGTTACAACATAAAATTCCAACCATGTGGATAACCCTAGCAATATGAAATCAAGTTAAAAAAGGAAAGCTTGAAAGTATTACTTACAACAGGATACCCTTTTTAAGTTAAAAATAAAATCTAACATGACATTATATACTTATTAGGCATTTGTAAGGAAGTTTCAAAAATGAAACCAAGAAGCTTTTGTTCAAGATGAAAAAACAGATACTGAATTTACTTTGTCTCCAAATATAACAGCAACAACTATAAAACAAATGCACCAAAAATTATAACACTACAAAGATAATTAAAATATTAAGTATCAGAGACCAGAAATGAGTGTAAACACTACAATTATCCCATGACTTCTACTAGATGCTTCCAAGCCATGGTGTAGGAAGGAGAAACTCAGCATCAGGTCATCTCTCTGAGCTCAGGGAAGGGAGCTGGAACTCAAGTGAGGTCGAGATGGCTTGACTTCATGGAACAGAGTATGGAAAAGAAGGGAGGTGCCAGAGAAAAAGTTCCAGACATCTAAAAAGAGATCTTTTATGAATATTCAGCTGAGAACTGATTATCAAACGCTTGTGAGGAAACTACATGATCCCAGAAAAACACCAGCTGAAAGGATGACAGAGAACAGTGCTAAGCACTGCTGCAGTGGAAAACCTCATCAATTAGGCGGCATTGCTTAGAGTATATAGAAGGCTCTTGCCTCACTAGTGAGGGAATGTTAGCTTTAGGAAAATACAGCTCTGGTTTTTTGTATTAGCAGCCCTTAATACAAAACCCCAAAGGATCAAACAAAATAACTTAAAACACGTCCAACAGTAAAACTTGATAGTATGTGTAGAAATGCAAATCTATTCTCGCCCAACAATGTAAGATCCAAAATGTCTCACATCCAATTAAAAACTACCAGACATAGCTGGGCGCAGTGGCTCATGCCTGTAATCCCAGCACTTTCGGAGGCTGACGCAGGTGGATCACCTGAGGTCAGGAGTTCAAGACCAGCCTGGCCAAGACGGTGAAACTGTCTCTACTAAAAGTAGAAAAATTAGCCCAGCGTGGTGGTGGACACCTGTAATCCCTGCTACTCCGGAGGCTGAGGCAGAGAATTGCTTGAACCCAGTAGGCGAAGGTTACAGTGAGCTGAGATCACACCACTGCACTACAGTCTGAGCAACAGAGTGAGACTCTGTCTAAAAAAAAAAAAAAAAAAAAAACCAACAAAAAACGTTAAAAAAAAAAAAAAAAAATCAATCAATTGAAACAGACCAAGAAAACACACTGTTGGCAGAATTAGTAGACAAAGATATGAAAACAAATCATTATGACTGTATTCCATATGCTCAGAAGATAAAGGAAAGATTAAACATTAAGACGACGAAGACAAGGAGATAAGATTAAAAAAAAAAAAAAAGGCACTCATTAAACTTTAGGAAATAAAAATTACAATGCCTGAGATGAAAAGTTTGCTGAATGAGATTAATGTGCACAAAAAAATATCGCAGATGAAAACATTACTCAACTTGAATGCCCAGCAAAAGATATTTCCAAAGTGAATCATATAAAGAAAAAAGACTTAAAAAAAAAATGAACAAAGCTTCTGTGATCTGTGGGAAAATTTATTATTACTTGAAACAACGTGTAGGCCTTTCAATGAGTGAATGATTAAACTGTTGTACATCTATAATATAGAAAACCATTCATTATTTAAAAACTACATTTTTGATACACACAACAACCTGAATGAATCTCCAAAGAACTATGTAGCATGAGAAAAACCTCAAAGGATGATGTACAGTTTGATTTATATAATAATCTTCAAATAACAAAATAACAGATTAGTGGTTGTCAGTCGTTAAGGAAGGGGTTAAGTACTATAGGTCAACAGGAGGCCTCCTTGTGCTGATGGAAATGTTTTGTATCTTGACTGTATTTGCATCTCTATTCTCGTTAATAAATTTTACTATAATTTGGCAAGATGCTGCCACTAGAAAACAACTGTGTTAAGGGTACACAGTATCTCTATTATAAGTATATATAAATTTACAACTTTGTAAACATAAAAAGTTTAAATAACAATGGTATTTAAGTTAAACAAAAAGGAAGTAAATGGTGTAAACCTTCCAATAAAAAAAAAAAAAGATTGTCAGGTTAGATAATATAGTGAGACCCAAATACATAGTGGGTCAAAAAATTCACTTTAAATATAAAAACACAAATGAATTAACATTTTAAAATGGAAAAATATATGTCACTCTAATCTTAATCAAAGCTGGAGGAGCTATTTAATATCAAAGTATTTTTCAAAGCAAAGATTAAAGACATTTATTTTATAATGATCAAAGGGTCAGCTAATCAAGAAGACATAAAAAGTCTGAGTTCTTATGCAACTAATAACAAGCCTTCAGAATATATACAGCAAAAGCTGACAGAAATGCAGGAAGAGATAGGGAAAATTGCAAATATCAAAGATTTCAATATACTTCTTTCAAGAGATTATTGAGTAGGTTGATAGAAAATGAAGAATAATGTAGATTACAGCAATACTATTAATAAAATTACCTTAATATTTATAAAACACCCAATGACAGAAAATTATACACTATTTTCAAGTGAATACAATGTTTACAAAAAATATTCTGAGTTATAAAATCAGTATGATTTGACAAAATTTAGATCATACAAGGTATTTTCTGAACACAATGACACCATATCAGAAATCAAAAACAAACATACTAAAATATCTTCTAAATAATTAGAAATTAATAACATGATGCTGAATAACTTCTGTCAACAAGAAAGGAAAAGGCAAAATAGTATTTGGAGTTGAGTAAAAATGGAGACACAGTATAGCAAAATATGTTGGTTGACATTAGGAAAATATTTAAGGGAAGCTTTATATTACAAAATGCTTATATTAAAAAGAAGACAGAGGTGTCCCAACCATTACCTCTATTTCCATCTTAAGCAAATTAAAAAAAAGAACAAATTACATCTGAAGTTCTTAGACGTGATAACAAAATATCTATTACAGGAACATATCATGAAAATAGAAGCAGAAAAATGAAAAGTTTGTTAACTGAGAAGATGGAAAAAACTGAGAAACTTCCAGCCAGATTATCAAGGGAAAACAAAATTATCAATGTCAGGAATGAGAGAAGTGCTATCACTTAGATTCTGCAGATGTTAAAAATATAAGAGAATATTATGATCAATTTTATGCAAATAAACTTGAAAATATAATTGAAATGGACAAATTTCTTGAAAGAGCACATTCAAGATAAAACTACCTGAAAAGTTCTTCATCTACTGCAGAAACTGCATATGTAGCTAATAGGCTTCCCACAGGAAATTCCAGGCCGATATAGACCCAATGTTGTATTTTACCAAATGTTTAGAGAATAAATAATATTGGCAAAACCAGAGACATTATAAGAAAATTATAGTCTTGATTTCTGCATCATAGACAGACACACACACACACACACACACGGAGTGAGAGACGAGACAGAGACAGAGAGAGGGAAAGGGAAGGAGAGAATGAG